CGCCAAGCCAAACCAAGCGCTGAGAGAAGTGCCACTCCGGTGGCAAATCTTCTTGGTGATGAGCAAAAAAAAGGCCACTCGCAGCCAAACACACATTCTCATCATCGAGCGCCAAGTAGTGGTCGGCTAACTACGTCCCGTAAACCAACGCTGCATGCTGATCCCCTTGCTCCAACCGGAGCTGTTGCAGGTCTGACCAGCGTGTCTAGCACGTGCGAATCCGTCGCAAAAGACCCGTAGGATCGAATCTTTTCGACAAATCCCAGCACATATTGAGAACACTAGCCAAGCCGACGATTCCAATGGCGAGTGCAACAGGTGTTGTGGCGCTTGCTGACACCGTCGTCCTAACTGACGAGGATCCACTGGTGTGTCCTGAGACTTCGAAGGAATTTACAGACCCGCTGCAGCTTAGTTTTCATTTCTACTTTGATATCTTTTCTTCCCTATTGTCTCTTGTGTTCCAAAAGCTTTTTGCAGCAGCACGCTACTGGTACTAGTAGTGATCCCCCTTTGACCCAAACTCTCGGTGCCCGTCAATGTTTCATGTAATAGCGCCCCCGTCTTCACGCAGTGCCGTCCATATAGCTTAGGGTAACCTAGCATTACCCAACTCATTGGATTGTCTGACGAGGATCTGTCTCCTTTGCGGCGTAAACAGTACTCGCTTGGCACCCGTGCTACGTTTGGGTTGCCACTGTTCGCCCCATGAAATGCTAGCTCTATGGCAACGTGCATTGGTGGCAGCGAGAGCAAAAAGAAAGGACAAGAAGAGGTAGCACAGTCGGTGGGCTTTCCCTATGACTTTGAGATTTACATCACACGGCTTCCGTGTAATGCAACTGTGAGTCCCGCGAAGAAGCATCCCGATTTGTCCGGGTACAGCCGGAAGATAATTATTTCAAATTGTTGGTCCTAGGGTCAGTCACAAACTTTCTAAAACGGAATGAGTCGCAAACATTGAACTAGGACCTTGTAGCTAGGCCCTTGTAGCCGGCCTCTGGACTTGGCTAAGGTATCCTGGGATGTTGGCGAAAGGAAAAAACATAACAGCTGCATGCATCTCGGTCACGACACCATCTACCCAGCAACAGAACTGAAAGAAAAGTGTGCAAACGGATCCGCGAAAGAAGTCAGCGCACTGATACTAGTACAATTGCGGGCATGATTATCACATAAGATCCCTGTCTGCTCAACTGATAGCCAGACGTCGCCTTAATTCGATCTTCTGGCCAACAAGCCCATCGTTTGCCTGGCATGAGCTGGCCATGTCCATGACAGTGACCAATCTTACACGCGTGTTCCACGATCTTTCCCCGGCGTGCATCATGAGTGAGACAAAACACGGCAACTAGATGTGTGGTAGTCAACCACATATCGGTTACGAGCAGTCAGGGCCCGAAGACTGGCCGGGAGGCAGTCTGGCGTTCACATCTGCCGTTCTTCAAGGATGCAGTCGCGCTGAGTTAGCCTCAACATTGGATAGTTTGAAGAGCAAGGGACGAACGTTCAACCGGTGTGACTGAGTTAGTCTTGTACCTCTCATATCTGCCACTGCCGGTTACACTTACGATAGCATCGCTACAAGAGGCTTTTGTGTGAATGCATCCCATGGGGCTGTCGTTCTCGGGAACCTCGCTTCAGCGCCTGGGAGAAAAGGGGTCCAGACGATGGCAACGCTCATGCATAAAATAGCCTACGTAGGTACGAAGCATAGACACGTGCCACATACGTGCTGGGCAGCAAATCTTTTGTGCGGTAGTCGAGTTTTCCGAATCAGCACAGAATATTGCAAACAAATTTTGTCGTTGCATGTTGGTGCGACTGTTCGTCGTCAATTCGACATGAAGTGCCGAAAAATGCAGCCAATTATATGTAGGGTGTCGGTCGTACGCTCTCAGACTTCGCTAGGTTATTCCTTCCAGCAGGAGAGTTGAAATGCCGTAGTGAGGAGTAGTAATACGGCCCTGTTGTTAAGTCATGTCGTCCATGTGTAGTAGCCGATAGTGCTAGACCAGTGAGCTCGAACAAGTGATTAGCATTGGGTGTAGCATTCGTTCCGATAGGTGAGCTTCCAATACCCTGTCGAGTGTCATATTGAAAAGACCCGGAGATAGAACGGCTCGCTCCAGCCCACCTCCGTGAGCAACAGCCAATCATCAATATCCTCCAAACAGTCGCTGACTTAAAAAAAAAAGCAGCCGTTATTTGCTTGCCTCCAATCAGTCGAGAAACTGTGTGTTGTACTAATTGCAAGACTGCAACCGATGCCACCCCCCTCGATAAGTAGCCAATACAAATAGAACACGTTCTGTCGTGGAACCCAACCAACTCCCGCCACCCTCTTGTGTTTTTGGGCCGGGGGGACCACATTCCTGCGTACAACTTCGTGCAGACTAAGACACTGGCTAATTGAAACTGAATTCAGCCAAGTCCTCGTTCCCCTTGGCAGCAGGCTGTGTGGGAACGACTCATCCATAAAGTCCATAACTTCATCCGCTTCTCCTGGGATTGCCGCATACTCCATACCCTCCCAAAAGTTGATCGTGGCGGATATATTATCTGCAATCACTATGTCCATCGCCTGCCGTGCCTTTTGTCTTGTGTCTGTGGTCAGTTTCTGTAGCAAGATGCACGTATCTAGTAGGGCCTGGTTCTTCGCTCCTTCAACATAGGCAGATACTATTAGTACCAAATGCTCTGGAAGTACAAGCACTGCTGTCAAGTCTACGCGCCCGGCGTCCAAATCCTTCCTTAGCCAACACATACTTCGGACCGCGCATCTTCCTTCTTCGCTGCAGATGGAGGGCACTAGTTCCGTCCATTTATAGTGCGTTGTAGGAGTGGTTAGTGGTCGACCCTTGTCGTTCCGCGCCTGGGGCTTTTGAATGGCTATCGCTGCCGCATCCTGAATCTCTTCATCATTCATCAGGCTGTCATGCGCTTCAGCACGCTTGTACACATGCAACTGCATAGTTCAGAGCAGTTTACTTATTACGAGTCGGGTACAGCCTCCTGCAGTTTCTTCTAAACGATTCGTGGGGTCCGCCGCATGGCTCGCATTTCGGGATCATTTCCGTGCACGTGGCCATGGTCTGTGACCTTCTTGGCACATCTCCCACACACCTCTGGCTTTCTGCATTGGCGGGTTATGTCGTCTGCCAGTTCCTGGCAATTGTAGCATTGCCTTGGTTGTGGGCGATGTTCGAAATTACTTGTCCGTCCTGAGAACCCTCCAGTGTAGAGACTCTTTTGATTGGAAAAAAAGGCGTCGTCTCGGAGGGTTTCCTCAGGTACACACCACTGTCGATCCGTGGCTCCTCAAAAAGCTATTGTTCAACCATATCACCTTCACGACTCCGGTCTCATTCTCGCTGCTAAGAGCTGCTGCTACTCCAGGAAGCTCCTCGCCGTTCGTCGAGCGCTTCGTTGGTGACGCCATCCAGCTTGATTGGGTAGATATCGTCTTGTACTACTCGCGCGTCCCGTGGTAGCTTCGTTTACACCATTCGCTTGATCATCTGGACTTCGTCTTCATTGCATCCTTATCTTATGCGTCCCTTTCCATACTTTGCTTTTGGTCTCTCGTAACAGCAGGGCGTCGCCACTTGGGGAGCTGTCGTGCGATGTGTACCTCCTCCACGCCCCCTGCTGGTCGTTCAACGTTGGTTTCAGTTGATAAAGCTCGAATAACTCGGTTGGCTGGTCGGAGCTCGTTTTCCTGTCCGGTTCGACGATGGTCATTTCGGTGTCGAAAAGCGCGGATCGTGAGCTGCACGATTTCGGTCCCCACACAATCCTAGCATGATGGTTAGTAGATCGACCACAACACCAAAAGCAGATATAATACACGCCTTCCGTGCTATTGCGCTATCAACGATCTCACAAAGCACCGTCTTTTCCATCAACGCAAGTCTTGACCTCCAAAGTTCGGGTAACATGCCCCCCCGGTCTTTCCCCAAGTTTCCCCGCTTGCCTACTGAAATTCGCTGTTACATCTGGCGCCTTGCTCTTCGACAACCTCGCGTCCATCGCCTGCGCACTGCTAATGTGGCTCTCGAGCAACCCCATTCTCTTCTGCGTACTGAAACACTCCCTCGGTCCACGATAACCACGCGTGACATCCTTGCAACATGTCGCGAGTCTCGAAATGAGGCATTGCGCGCATTGCCAGACCTATTGCCTCTTAGCGACTGTGTGATTCATTTCAACGGGCGTGAGGATGTTATCTGCCTCGTCAAAGTGAATCTAGATGTGTTAGACGCATTGAGCGAGGCGGTATTGAGGTATCGCGCTCCGGGACATGGTGGCAAGAATGACGGATCTGTTGTTCAGATGCCCGATGCTCTAGACTGGGTCGACAAGGCGACGAAACTAGCATTAGAAGCTCGCAACTCAGACTTCCATGACGACTTCGGTTTTTCGTCCACTGAAGGAATCGATCAGAATCGAGTGCTACGATTCATGTCCATGTTTCCAAAACTGGAATGGTTGTTTCTAATCGTCTTGCCGTCACCGGATGATATGGAGACGGTGATAATTGATGAGGCTGACGACGACGTCGACGACGAAGAGCATGAGGGAGAGGGTGACAAAGATGCTACTACCAGTTCCAGGAATGGCGGCAGCAGTACTGGCTCCATTGGCAGCTATTGGATTCGAGGTGAGAATGGCATCAGCGACTGGTATCGCTGGGTGCCTCGCAGCACAACATGGGACTACTCGACTGAGAAAGTGCAGACGCACTTCTCAGATATGGCAATTTGGAAGGACAGCCTTCAGGCCGCACTGCGGCGTCATGGCGACGAAAGCCGGATGTTGAGATCGGTGCAAGTTGAGGTAATGCTGCATTTCAGGGAAGGCGCTGAGCCACCGAGAGATCTGTAGAACTTGAGAACTTCTTATGTTATGTCTAATCACCACCTCTTCCTGATGGCTCGCGTGAGCAGGCCCCAGAAATGCTGGATGCCTTATCACTTAGTTATGTGCCACTAGGCAGCAACTCTTTTGCGTGTCATCACAGCGCACAACTGGTGGCATAGTTCGCCCAACACAGCATTGATAAGCACGTACGTGGTTGAAAGTGCAAGGGTCAGGGTCCATAAGCGTTGTTCTTGTCGCTGACTTTTTTGATGATCTCGGCCCAACCAAAAAGAAACTTGATCATTTCGCTTCTAGAGACATCGCCGACACAAGTATCCTCTGTACATGTGTTGAAAGGGACCAAACCGAGCTATTCACTATACGCGTGGTGCCATGCCAAGTTGCCAATAACTTTGAGTACCAGCGACGCGGTGACGGGGACATTCACGGCAACTGAGCCAGGCGTTTCGGGTGCAATATTTCACGGTCTCGATATCACGTCTGTTGCACTGCAAAGTTCCTTGAATGTTCCTCCCCAGTACAAGTCGCACCCAGGCACCACTCCTCCTCACTCGACCCTCGTTCGCTCGTATGCCTCCCATATCTCGATCGCACTTGTGGGCTCCAGTTTAGAACACCACATTATGCCAATGCAAGCCTATCTCAGCGGCCGTAAAGCGCATAACTATAGACTGCTTGAGGCTTCTTTCCTGAACTGTTCCGCCCGCCTCCGCGTCTGCGAAGCTGTCTTCCGCAAAGCACTGCAAAGCAGCAGCACAAACCGCCCGCTGCCTCCTCTGACCTACAAGCCTGCATGCGGTCTTCCCTTCCAGTACGCCTGGACAAGGAGTGTCGTCCAATCGCTGAGCAAATCAAGGTTCCCAGCTCTGCCTGTCTCAGTCGCGCAGCCAGCTGGGTTGTTCTGGCTAAGACATATATATATATCCCTGGTCGCTTGGACGAATCACTTTCTACCAACCTACGATTGCTCGGCCTCGCTGGGCAGATCAACCACTATCAAGCCTTCATTGGCGATGTCCGCAAACTTCTGCGGATTCGGTCACCTGTGGGAGTGCTTTTTTATTTAGATGCAAAAGGCGTGCTTGTGAAACGAGATGGAGGCTTTGTCGATCGTTGTCGCTGAGTCGATACACGGGCAATGTCAGGGCGCTGCACTTGATCCGGATTACGTGTGTAGACTCGATACGTCCAGACTTGGCAAAGGGTGGTGGCTCCCAAGACGAAGTCATAGCTAGCAGAACCAAATCGCAGTTATATCCTCGTATAAGCTTGATACGTCCTGAAAGGAACTCCTAGCATGTAGAGGCCCAGAATTGGCTAATCAACTCCTCAGGGAGTGCTCGTTTGCGGTCCGTTGACTGAAAAATTTTGATCACCTTGGCGTTGGAGGTTTTCTCGCATACTGCAGTACAGTTTCTCCCATTATTCCGCCTCACGGCACCTCGCAGCGCATGGAGTAGTGTGACCATTCTTCGCAGTTCGGACTGATGGTCTTTCTCCCAATTTTGAAATAACGGCAGAGTATGTGTGACCTTTACTGAATGAAAAGTACCCTTCGTATGATAGCCAATGATGAGCCAAGGAGTTCGACCAAACCACAGCTGCGGGAGGTATATCCCAACTGACTTCGGTTTCTGGGCCGATTTGAGTTCTGCTGCTGTGGACTGGGGCATCATCGCAGGTGGACATGATCTATCTGTACTTGACTCCGTTAAAGAAAGTGCATTGATTTGCAACAGCAGTGAGTCAACTTGATTACTTTCCGCATTATCCATGTCGTAGCAGGCATCCACTTCAAAGCGCACTGCGCAGCGTAAATCTCCGATCGAGTAGCAAAGGACGCGATGATGTCCAGAGCTGTCATCTGCACCCGACGGAAAGCTGGTGAAAGCCTTCTCAAAGTTGTGGCCCCAACCACTTCTGTTCGAACCCCGAATGAGCTCGCGTGCGCTCATTTCGCAACGCTCGATGAATAGTGTGTTCTTCACAATTGGAAGGTTGACTTTGAAGTTGCTGTTGACGCGGCCACCGCAAAAATCAAACAACTTTCGAAGGCTGTTACGGTTTGCCACGATGTCCACGTTATCGAAGCGAAAGCCGGGGTTCAGCAAGGCCGAGGCTCGAAAGACGGGCTCGAAAGCATACTTTGGGATACGTGCAGCATTCTGATGTACAAAGTAGGATCCCTTATCCTCTCGTAAAGTGATTGGCAGTGTGTTATTTCGCCAGCGTGGTGCACAACCTGTTGATTTCGCATTTAGTGACGAAATTGCAGTGACCCAAGGTTGGAGTGTGCATACCTGGGACGTAAATCCTGGCTTCATCGCATTCTTGCCAGTTATAGGTACATATCAGCTCACTTTCCACCGTGCTACTGACAGCCATGGATGAAGCTTCGAGTGCATGGCTCTGAACAATCGATATAGGTTCGTCGCGACCTCGGGCATTGTGCCAGAGCCATCGCTCGCTCCAGGGCAGCCTTTTACTGGGTGCAGAGCCATCGCTACAGCTGTTGCCATTCTGAGATTTCGCATCTTGATGTTGAATCAAAGCATCATTGGAGCTGAATTGCCTTCCACAGACACATTTTGCCATGTTGAATGTCCACTGCTGCTGACGAGGCCGAAATAGCAATCCAGTGATCGTACGGGCACGCAACACGTCGACGTGATCTCCCGTCTCTCCCTCGACTGAGGCTCTGGATGGTAAATTGAGGTCCTCTCGGACACAGCGGACAGGTCTGCAAATATTCTGCTGTTCAAAGCCGGGTCTCTGTTTGCCGCAAGTCGCTGCTGAGGAGGTATTGACTAGTGATTGCCCTGAAAGCTTTGATGTGCTGCAACAAGGTGAGTGGTGAGTACTGCTTACGTAGCGGGGAGAGGGTGGAGTCGTGTCAATCTTTCTGCGTCTACAGCTGAAGAATTCGGAACAGATTGGTACTTATGGGAGTAAATACCAACATACGATGGGTCATGTAAGGATCAGTAGATAATCTGGTGTTTTTGTATTAGTTACCCATCAAGGAAATATTGGATTTACAGCGAGTAATAATCATACTATATTATGCCAATCAATCATTGGCAAGTACACTTTCAATGGTCAAGAGGTAACAAACAGTTTGCCGTGGCGATAGTACCTTGGCATCCGCTGTCATGGCTTGCCTCATGAGAGACATCACATCGTGATTGTATGGATCCTTTGCTTGAGTGCGAAGATTCCCCCGGCCCCCATGACAGGATGTGAGAGAGACAGCATGCATTGTGTTTCAGACGTGGTGCCAATCAACCTTCAATTTCGCATCCTCGAGGCAACAACTTTGCATTACTACCTCAAACAGTGCCAACACAATAACAGCAAGGGGCAAACGATACCTGGCCCTTACAGACACCAAAAATATTTGTCATTTTTGTAGTGGATCTCTCGGCTGGTCCGCGTTTACAGAAGCTGCTCGGCCACTTATATATATGTCCTGTTTATCGGCCCCAATTGAAGCCATTTCAGGCGGTACCAGAGGACAAAAATTATCGTATCGCTGCTGATCTTTTTCTTTCCCCAGAGCAGGCATTGAGTTTGCAACCAAATCGCTTGCTACAGTAATCTCAGCTACGTGATGATTATAACATTGGTTGTCCAGATCATGCAGCGTTGGCCTGCTGCCACGAATACGAAAGTAAAGAGTCCCGCCAAGGATAGACTGTCGGAGAAGAAAGTTTCCAATATCCGTTCCGGCTAGATCAGTCTTGGGGGGCTGATGTGACCAGTGTCTTAAACAACGAGGGTCTTCCCCCGGCGTACTAGCAACATGTAAGAATTGTAGCATTTGATTGGCTCATTATTGAGAGGCCGCTGGCTGTTCTTGGTCCGAAGGGAGTTGAGAGATTGTGTTCCGCTCGCAACTGGCCATTCTTTGTCGCAAATGGCATGGTGTTGTTTTCACTTGCATGTAGTGGCTGTAAGTGTCGGACACGATGCGTCCATTGTAGGAGAGCCAGATGTTATAAAAGAATCAGTCTTGCCTCTGAGCAACAAAGTTCACGCTCAACATATAGGGACGCACAGCGTGAACAATATAGAAAGAACAATATTTTATGCGTTACGACTCTCGTTTGCCATGGATTTGGCACATACAGTACTCAGCTGCCTTTTCGGTTCCCTTGAATCTACTCAGAATAGCGCTCAACATGCCGTGAGCGAGACACGGTCGAATGAAGTCTTCCCGTCACCACACCGTTACTCTTCGAACGCCAAAAAACTTTCCATCGACCTCGTGACTCTTCTGCGTCGTTCTGATGTACGTGGGGAGGAACTATGGGAGAAAGTGGACCAGACCGTTGGCTCCGCGGGTTGGTCCGAATTACTCGCTGAAAACGTGCTAAAAGCTCTTGAATCAACCCTAAAAGAGAGCCACGAAAAGATGGGCACAGTCATGAAGGAGGCATACGACAATGCTGTTGAAGCCGCGGAACATGAATTTCAGAAGCTAGTTCAACAGGCCAAAGAAAACCCGTTGGAGCTGGCAGCCACTATTCTTGTGACAATAGTCGCATTTGGGGTACTTGCGGCGTTGGCTCCATTCATTGTGGAGCTGTTGGGATTTGGTGAACTGGGACCTGCTGCTGGTGAGTTTCCAATGGCAAATAACGCATTGCACTGGTTGCCAAAGCTGAGTAAATAACAGGTACATTTGCATCCTGGTGGGAATCAATGTACAGCGGTTACATCCCATCTAGATCTCTTTTCTCTTATTTCCAGCGCCTAGGTATGACTTGGGCACGTTCGTAAACGAAGAGCAACGTACCAGCGTTCGTCCATTTTGAGGAGTCAGGATACAGAACTGGAGCTGCCATTCCAAACTCTGTTTTTAGCGCCTATAATGTCAGTAACGAAGAACATACGTTCGAATAGTTTCAGAGCTCGCTTTAGTTATCACAACAAGCTTCAGGAATTGTCACGTTATGAGACTCATTGTTAACTAAGCTTCTTCACAAAAGCATTATTCTTGTTGCTATTCTTGTTCCCCCTCCTAAACCCTAGAAACTCAAAACATTTAATACTTTTGGAATACTGCTGCCTCCAGGCAGCAGTATGACGACTACTGTTGCCACCTGCCACTCTGGTGGCAAAAGCGCTTGCGAGTTTCAAACAGGGCCGATTAAACGCTCATTGGATGTCCGCGGTCACCAGTGTGACTACTTGCAAAATGCTTCTTTAATGTCGTGGACCAGCGCAGCGACCAGGTCGACAGCCCATCGCTTCGGCAACGCACCGGCTTGCTGCAGATGAAGCACTTCGTAGTGGACTGAGGCCCATGCCGGGCGGCGTGCGAGCAGGCGCTCAAGTCCTTTCCCCAAGCAGGACAGCAAAGAAATTGGGCGCCAGGCCCTGGGCGTACCCAGGTCCCCTTTTCCCGCCTTAAAGATCATGACGACTTCTGCCTCACAGAATGCTTGTGGGTGATGCCCGACCACCAAGCAACCTTCGTATAGCCGCCGGGCATGTTCTCCAATGATGTCCCAAACTGTTCGCAGTATCTTGACGGTGATGTTGTCTGCCCCTGGCGAGGTGTTGCCAGCCTTGGTGGTAGCATCTTCTGCCTCCGCGAGAGTGATCCCGGCAGCAAATGGTATTTGACGCGGCGGACAAACTGGNGTCGATGTCGTCTGCTGCCGTGCGGCGTTCCAGCGTACTACGTCTCAGAGCGTTCGCTTTATCCATTTGCGTTTCGTACACTACACCGTCAATTTGGAGCGGTAGCGGTTGAAAGGCGCCCGGTGATTTAAGCCAGCGAGCTGCTTTGTACACCGCTGCACTATCCGAGAAGCCGTCTATCAAGTTGCGTCAGTACTGACGCTTGGCCCGACGGACCACATTTTGGAACACTCCTCTTGCTGCTTGCACCTCCTCGTTGAACTCCATGGGGGAGATCCTTCGTACGGCCCAGTACTCTGCTGCGGACTCAGCACATTCGTCGGTCCGCCAAGGGGCGCTTCGCGTTCCCTTCCGTACGGGTCGTCCCGCTGCCTTGGCAGACGATGGAGAAGATTGACGGGCGATTCAGCTAGTGCGTCCAGCTCCGAGGCTGTTGTGGCTGCGGCTGGGAGACTATAGACACCTGCCTCGACAAGTTCCTTGAAGCGTTGCAGCTCCTCTCCACCGATTACTCACACCTTACCTAGCGTTCCAGTAAGCGCCAGAGTAATATTTAGGATTGTAAGACTTAAAGTGAAATGGTCAGAGCTCGTGGCGAGGTGACCC